GTCTTCCTACAACTACAAAATTGAAAGTAGAAGTTTTTCATTCAAATAAAATTTGTTGCCCATAGTGAGTTCTTTTATTAAGGTCATGTACACTTTTTGAAAATTTTATTAGTGTTCCTGCAATATTGCGTGCAATATTTGCAATTTTAAAAAATTACACAAACAAGATTTTCTCAAAAACATTTCCAATTTTTTATTAACTTTTGGTAGGGATAACGTTCAATCTACTCTACAAGATATTAAACGCCAAATTGATCCACTCTTTTTTTGAAAAATTACAAAAATACATTTCTTTTGTCTTGAGTATAATATCATATCACAAAGTTTCTCGAAACATTTCCTTTTTTCTGTGAAAACTAGCTCAAATTTTCGCATTTTCAGAAACGTTTAAACGCCATTTTCTCAAAAAGGGCTCCAAATTTTTTTCTTCGTACTTTTCGAAGGGATAGTGCTAATTACACTCTTCAATATGACATGAAGTTCTTTTTTTGTTTTTTTCGAAAATTACACAAATGTAATTTATTTGAAATATCTCTCACGCCGATAATATGCACATTCCCAGCAATTTGTAAATACTATTGTATATTTGAGGTAAATTGCTTAAAATTATTTTAAGGATTTTTTTCGAAAACTCAAAAATTTGCTGTGAAAAATAACTTCAATTTTTGAATTTACATTAAGGCTTCGTCGGGATTTTCTTAAAAAATGGAACTTTTTTCCAAATTTTTCAAAGAAAATTGCCAATTATGAAGAGGTTTACTGTTATTTAGTATTCTTAAAAAATATTTCCGTTCAACTATTATGAAACAGAAAAATTAAGAAAACGTCAAAAAATGTACCGGGTAGCGATAGATGGCAGCAGGAAAGAGTATTGGAAAGTTCGAATATCTAGCCGAGACCATAGGAAACAGAAAACTAACACCGGAAAGTCTGTGCCATTCTGTAGCACCACTAGTTTCAAAATAAGGTGGTTTTCGCGTAATATTGCGTAATTCATGTAGAGAAGCCCGAAAAGTTAAAATGTCCTAATGATGTCTGGAACTGCACACCTACGTCTTACTCCCTTTTATTTATAAACTCGAACTTCATACGGTCGCTTTGCTACGCAAGTCACACCTGATGCTTCACTGCTCTTGTGGAAGTTCATGACGAGGTGGCGCCCCAGGTCCGAGCCCTACGCGAATAACACAAAATTCTTTGCTCCTGTTTCCTCCAAAATTGACACAAGTTTTAGGCACAAGTCGTTGTTGATGTCAGGTGTGTAAACGTTCCACTTCAGTTACCATAATTATTACCTAAACTAATACATTTTTATTATATGATGTGTTGTGCGACTCAGTTGCGGTACTGTTGGCAAAATGACTTACGAAAACTTTCAATTATTAAGTTTACAACAGATTTTATGAAATACGAATGCCGCGTACATATCCCTTCATTCCGGTTCTACACTTCAGTGAATCACTAGGGAACACTGGGCACAGTGTGATTGGTGTGTAATATAGATAACGAGGCATTAGGATTTCGGTGTAATGCATATTCGGAGATCGAGAATGGCCACGGTTAACGGAAAATTGTACTTTAATACATAGTATGAACAATAAGTTTTATTGATTGATTATGGAGTGTTTCTGAGCGCAACGCAGACCTATACGCGAGCTCGTATTCCCTCCAGGTATCTGTCCTCACGGGACACAGTCTCAACCGAGACAAGCTGAAAAACCCCACTGAGCTCTCTCAACAAGTGGTAGTCTAGAGAACGTGTGTGGTGTTTGTATGTGTATGTCTGTGTATGTGTGTGTGTGTACGTACGGGTGTGCAAGGGGAGAGGATGGATAGGCTAATATCGTCCTAGGTTCGAAGCTCGTTTGTTATTGCTCCGGCATTCGCCTGGAACTGATCAGAGACACAACAGAAAAGTACTGATTCAGAGAAGCTGCCCTCTAGAATTATCCTCCAGAATGCGAGTCAATTCGATTTACCTATGTTAGATCGCGTCCAAAATCCGCCACCGGCGGGACTGGAACCCTAGAACCTCCCAGTCAGCGGAGCTGCAGATGTCACGGCAATGCTGTCTCCAATCCACCTCAGCTAGTTCATGGTAAGACTGAAACGTGTTGGATAGTGCGAACTTTGGATGTGATTCTCCCTCGGATCGGACGGAAAGGAACTCCCTCGCTTGCAAGCCAACACACATTCCGGGAAATTGAGAACCTGCGCTCGAATCAGTAGAGAAAAATTAAAGCGCTGCCCTTGAGACAGGCGCCGCGCACGCGAGTCGCCGGAGCGGAAAACTGTCCTTTTGCCGCGAGGCGGGGCGGCACGGGGGGGGGGGGGGGGCGAGGTGATGGCATCCGGCGATGAAGTCTGATAGCGGGCCCCATAAAGCGACGCTCGCAGCCTCCCGCCCCTCTAACGGAGGAGACGGCCAATGCGGCGCACGACATGGCTCTAGGGGCGGCGAGGGCGGCGAGGATGGCGGTGGGGCTGTTCGTGATGGCAAACGGTGCTTCGGCGTTTCTGCGCTTGGCGGTGAGTGGCAAAAAACACTTGTGGAGCAAATGAAGGAAACGAAGAGGTCTTTTACACGTAGGCATCCGCGGCTCGAGTTCATGACTTCTAGTCTGTCCGGGTGACGCCGCGTTGCTGGCAGCCCTGAAGAAGCCTGCGATATGATAGGCGAAACGTCGGCCTCTCTGCCAACGACGCGCCGTCTCCCGGACAGCCTAGACGTCACGAAGAGGTTTTAACGTGATCTCGGAATATTGCAAGGCCCGTTATGAATGCGTAGGCTTCCGCGGCTCGAGTTCATTACTTCTAGCCTGTCCGGGTGACGCCGCGTCGTTGGCAGCCCTGAAGAAGGTTCTCTACCCTGAAGAAGCCTGCGATATGACAGGCGAAACGTCGACCTCTCTGCCAACGACGCGGCATCACCCGGGCAGCCTAGAAGTCACGAAAAGATCTTAACGTGATCTCCGAATATTTTAAGGCCCGATATGAATGCGTAGCCTTCCGCGGCCTGGGGTTGTATTGTCTAGCCAAGACGCGTCAAACCGCGCTCTCACTAGAAGAGCCGCCTAGGGAGCTAGGCGCTCCCACGGGCACGGGCAACTTCCCCTCACTCCGCACTTACTTCCCCTCAAATTCCAGAATGTGGTGTACGTAAGCAAGCTGAAGTGGCACGAAGCCGATGAATAGGGACTTGACACGAAAATATGTTTGCCAGATTGTTTCCTATCAAATATCCGAGAACTGTATTATGTTTATACTTGAATACTTCACTACTTATTACTACTTTTTTTATTTTCCTATTCATTTCTCCTTCATATAAACTCTTTGCTAAGTGAGAGGAATATTTTTGAATGGCAAATTCTTCCTTGTTTTCGTTTTATGTTGCGCTATTAAATCATTCAGTTATATATTGTAATTAGCAATAATATGAAATAAATTTACAAATTATTGCAATTAGCAATCTCTCTAAGTTAACAATTCTCGTAACAATACGGACGACGCTTTTGACAGACAATAATATTTGTCTGTTAAACTTTCTAACCTGAATGTAGAACGTTCACGCTTTTTTATCACTCTTAAGTAAGCAGGATTGGTAAGCAAGGTACTTTTTATTCAACATTGTAAATTTTTCTCGCAATTGAGAATTTGAAATCAGATTGATGTATTATTTTTTTAATGGATCATTTATTTGATTTCAAGAGAAATTAGGACAATAACTGTCAAGCTAAACAAGCTCTACAGCTAAATTTGTGACAATAACACCCAATAAACCTCTCCCAAAGACTTCCATCGTCCTGGTATTTTGTGACTTACCGTCACTCCGTGGCAAGTTGTACAATCCTTACTATCAAATCTCGCGCTATTTTCTCTGAACGCTGTTTCTGCGAGCTCCAGTAAACTTGTTACCTTGTCAGCGACCTTGACATGTCTGGTCTAGACTATCTGGGACGAGCGGCGTCTCTGGTCTGGTGACTGACATTTCGGCCAATAGATTGTGACCTTCCACAGAGTGTACTGCTGAAATTGTGAGGAAGGCCCCAATATGTTGGCCGAAACGTCAACCACTATGACAGACGCGGCGCGTCCCGGGCAGCCTAGACTACAATGCTCGGACTACAATCCGGATTAAACGCTCCCGATTGCTTCAAATCTACTATTAACTAGGAACTAAAATGTTCAAAAACGAGTTCTGAAAGTTTGTGTTAGAAAATCCTATAAGAAAAAGTACAAGACAATTTTTTAAAATTTCTTTTAATGTGGACAAAAAGAAGTACAACAACGAAGCCGAGCGATAACGTTTCTGAACAATAAATAACATCTGTATTTTATTATCTACAAGATTTCATTATGAATTAGACAAAATTATTTAATCCCCATTTGAATTATTTCCAAATATAAATCTAAAAGATCTAAGCAAATCTATTGCTTTGGTGTCACCTCAATTGTTTGATTGTTTGAGGTTCCGGGTAAGTTAACTACTAGGCTTATTAGTCCCGTAAGTGTAACGGGACTCAAACCTAGGCCCTATTGGTCAGAGCGACTGCAGTGTCATCACGTAAGGCTCTGAGCAATCTCTCCCAGTGTATCGCATCAAGTTGTGTCAAATTTCTGGTTTGTCGTTGCCAACGAATGGGGATTTTCGTACAGCTTCTTAGTTCAATTATTTACTGTATTCTGCTCCACATTGAAGGCGACATGAAAGCAAATAAATTATCATATTATACCTTTCATGTAACTTTTTGCGACTAAAATATTCTTTACTTATTTTTGTATACGTTTTAGAGTAAACTTTTAAAGCAATGATAAATGTTCACTCCGTGGATTATACTTGAATGATCTGCTTTCTTCAAATTTTAGAGGTTGAAGCTCAGTGCTGAACCTATTGGAGTTTTCAAAGAGAAAGGAAAATGAAAAATCCTGCTCCCTTACCAAGTGTGAGCTTAAGATACGTTATGAAATGTAAGAATTAAACATATTTTTATTCCGATAAGTTATGAAGGATGCTGTAAAACATGGTGCCAATGGAGTTGGAAAAGAAAGAAATACAACTTTAGTTGATGGGAGGAGCTTATCTTCACAGTACACGAGTACAGCGGTGTCTTAATCCAGCATTGCATTCATCAAATGAAGACTAAATTCATACTATACAAGATTAAATGAACTTAATTATTAGGATGAACAATTCAATATTGTAATACATTGCAATCACTCATTGCGATCACAGAATATAAGTTGTGACTGAGTTCGCCAGATGCTTAGTGATAGTTTCTCGAGCAACCCGCAACCAATCCTCAATTAAATGTAACTAATTGATATTAATTAAAAAAATATGCCTTAGAAGCTATTTTCATAAAATGTTGATATTATTTATGGCTAAGACCTTCCATTCTAAAAGAAAACAAGCTCTTTATTAAAAAAGAAACAAAGAGATACAGTTTTATCTCAAATTTAAAAGTTGATTAAAATGCTTCAGCACTAAAAAGTAATTTACTCGAACTGCATGATTATACTGAGATTTTCTCAACTCTACACCTGGCAGGTATTAGCTGTTGCAGTTCTATCCAATCGGAAGCTTGAATGTCACCAGCCAGGGGCAGAAATGCATAAATTGCAGTATAATTGTAAAACTTTCTATGTGTAACATCAAATGACGTTTGTTAAGAAAATCAATATCTTCAAAAGACGTTTCACGGAAATCTTGCATATTAATATATTCAGAGGTACTTTGCCCGTTTTTTTTTGTTTATAGACAGTATACATGGGTAAATTCATACATTACATAAAAATGAAAACTTATGAAGACATATTATATAAATTTCGTTAATACGTATTCATGTTTGATGCATGAATATTACAATATTCATCGATCTTGTAAGCTACGGTCACAACGCGTTTTGGACCAACGGTCTTTCTTCAGGAGTAAGTCATTAACACACACTACAATAGAAGCAAATAATACATACATTCGGCACACATAAAATGATAACAAAAATATCCATATTACATTTTGTATGAATACATAAAATGAATAGTGACACTCATTACTTATTTGATCATGGTACCGATTAAATTAAGAAACAAATTAAAAATAAACGATGAAGCTCTAAGATCTTCTAATAAAATTTACGAAACGACGACGTTTTTACAATTAGATTTATAAAATTTTACTCATAAATTGTAACCGTTACATTTCGGAATAACCATCCTCTCAATATTCTCAATATATAAAATCACTTCACAAAAACGATAATAATAATTTATTTATATATACATATATGTGGAGGATTTCAGCACGAAATTTCGACAATATTATGAGTCGATTGATCGACTGGCGTGAATTATTAAAAACACAAAGACACCACTCACCTTGCATCTGGAAATTCAACCTTGCTCCGGGAATGACTACGTCATAATGATATCTGATTGAAATTCCAAACTCAGACATTTAGTAAACAATACGGTGCGTTGTAATAAGCTCTTGAAAAACACTAGTGCAAAACACCAGACGCGCAGTGTCTGCACGCACAACTCCATCGTTGTAGGCTGTGCGGTAGATCGTAACTGAAAACAAGGTGAACGCAGCGTTGGGGAAAATGAAAACAAAGTTCGACTGGAAGGGGAATAGTGGAGGGGAGAAAGGAGAAGGGAATGGAAAAAAGAGGGGCTAAGGGGTAGGAAAGTTTTTAGAAGAAGGAATTTATTTTATTTTTCCTTAGGTCGAGGGCAGTATTGTATAACCGTGTGAAAATATTGGATTCGGTTTGATAATTGAATGTTAGAGTGGTCCTAATTATTCACAGAATTTGGTAAAGGTTTTCAAAATGTTATTGCAAGCTGGGTACCCAATACGGATTAAAAAAATATATGTAGAAGGTTAAATTACATTAAAAATAGAAGTTTTGTCGGTATGCAAAAGCCACAATCTAGAATGGATGCATGTATTGTCGTCCCTTATTTGGGTCCCCTTTCTCATCAGCAATAATTTGCAAGAACAAATATCAAACAGAGGTGGTATTTAGACCAATTTATCAATCCATGTTTGTCGCAAACAATAAATATTCCATTCAATTGCTAGGTGAATCTAAAATCGTATATAAATTAAAGAGTAAGGACTGTAATCAATCGTATATTGGTACCACGTCACGTAAAGTATAAAGCAGAATTGTGGAGCATACGAGGAATTATCAACCTGAATCCAATATTTTCACACGGTTATACGATACCGCCCTTGACCTGAGGTAAAAGAAAAACAAAATCAATTCGTTCTCCAAAACACTTTCCTGTCCTTTAGCCTTATTTAATTTGTGTCTTTTTTCTGAAAGAAAAAACAGAAACTGAACAGAAAAAAGACACAAATTAAATACCTCATGCAAAAGTTCAAAATTACTATTCTGGCTTTAAAATCACTAAATCAATGACATTGCTTTCCAATTCTCTTTGTACGCCGTGATGCAAACATACGCACCTTGTGTCTTTCACTTGCACTTTCACTTTCACTTGCAAAATCAGGAGCGCGAAAGATAACACGTTTTGCCTCCGATGTGCCGTGCCATACGAAACGCAGTTTTTTGAGGTCTGCCTTGCTTTGGTCGAATTGAGTGGACTCTATTCTGAATTAATTGCAAAGCAGACTGAATCCTTCATAATAGCTCGTGCAGGTTACAGCATGCGTTTCGGTTTCTGTTACAAACAGACGAATTCCACAACAACAAGTTTATTCACTTTGAGATGCGATGATTGACACAACAAACAATTACGTTATTACTGTTCACTTTCAATTAAACGCTTTATCTTGTGTATATCTTCAGCTCCGTAGCTTACACAGCTCAAAATACGTATAATACAACTTTTAACACTTGACGTTCGCGTGATTCAATGTTGTGTTCAGTATGAACATCAAATAAATGATCCTACTAAGGGATTTTTTCTACTTTACGGAATCTGAGGCAGCGAACGCAAATTTGCGTTTAATTACTGAATTCAACTCAGAGCGAATACACAGAAAACGTTCCCGAGAGAATAAATACAACCTCACAGAATCTGACGCAGCAGGCACGAAACACGTCCAAACGCAAGTTGTATTTTACCCAGAATAAAGATTCGTTCCGGCGGCTACGCTGGGAGGTACGTTTCTGCGTAGGGCGCGGGGAGGGGATTGGCAATAACCTATCATGGATTAGTATTTGAAATATGGTCTGGAAGAATCTCGAAGCTTTTGAAGCTTGTAGCAGTTAGGATGGTTGTCGCTGCATGCTCGGTCATGAGTCACCTTGAAGTCACGGTCGCTTGCGACACAGCTTGCAAACGAAGGAAACGTGAGGCGCTGAGCGTCTAAGATTTCCTGTTGAAGCTTTAACGGATTATGTCTGCTAAGCATATGTAATAAAATTTCTGCATGCTTTTCTGATTTGCTGTATGGGCCCGAACAGCAGTGCTACTCGCTTAAGTTCAACCGTCTTCTCACCAGACCCCCTTCTCTTGCCGCAGAGTGACGTGTCTTTCATCTTGGAAAGATATGGAGGAGCTTCTGCGCATTGTATCATACTTCAGCCAACTAGCTTCAGGCAGCAGTTTGCCTCACAATTTAGCAGGAATTTTAAATGCAGCCACAAAAAAACTATCGCCTTCTTACAAGTCATTGAAACTGATATATGAAGCATTTCCTTTAAATATTCCATTTTGAACACCTTCGTCGTGTAATTTTTGGTTAGTCACCGTTGAAAATTCCCACTTTATGCCACTTTCAAAACGTTTCTCATCCCTACTCCTTCTTTACGCAAATTGACGGCCAGCGTCAGGCCTGGCTTTTCAAAGTGTCCGTGCTCTGGTCATGTCATTAATGACGCAAACTCGTGATGCGTAGAGTGAGCAAAAATCGGTGCTCGGGAGAAGCCTACTCCTATCTTTCCATCACGTTCGCAGCTTCGCCCAACAACGCAGCTCGCAGCTTCAATTTGGGTCTCGCCATACAGGAGCGACTCGCGGCCACTCAGCGAGTTCTTGAGTTGAGCAGACTTGATATAGATGGCCCAGTATTGTCCGTTATTAACTGATTAAGTCTCTTACTGATACAAAATAAATCCTCGCTCTTCATTGGACAACCTGCACGCAACATATTTCGATTTTTAGTTCGTTTTTAGCCACAATTTTTAACGAAAATCACCAAAATTGAGTGACAAAAATCGCAACAGTTGGACATATATGTCGAGTCAATTCCAGGACTTTGCCCTTTGCCATGGCTCCAGCGCTGGGCCGAGAGTCGTAGTCCAAGGTACCAAGGCTTCTTCTCTGGCGCAGGGCCCCTACACGGTGGACCTGCAGTCGGTGGACCGGTGCGAGGACCAGGGCCGCAACCTGCTCGTGTACACCACGCGCCTGCACAAGAAGTCGGAGATGGAGTACGAGTACTCGGGGCCCTGGCGCTGGCCATTCGACCTGGACGACGACAACTGGCACGTGCACCTGGAGGCCGAGCGCTGGGGCACGCGCGGCTGGGGCAAGAACGCGCTCTCCTTCGACTCCAAGAAGCCGTGCAGCGACGCGCTCTCTCTCGTCGGGGACATGTTCCGCGGCATCGCCGAGGCCGCGGGCTTCGCGCCCACCTGCCCCGTGCCCAAGGTGAGCTCCACACGGTCCACACGGTAAGGCCTCGCCTTCTTCTTCAACAATAGTTGCATTTCGGAATTCATCTTTGAAATTCACTTCGCGAACCGGGAGAGGTGGCTCAGGGCGTCAACTGGTATCTGTGCAGTGCATCTGAGCGAGAGGTTGTTGAGTTTGAATCCCGACGGTGTCGAGACTTTCGACTCTAGCGAGGTAGCTAGGTCGAGTTTTGCTGCTGTCTGGAGGAGAATTCTAGCGCCCAGCTTCTCTGTCCGGTTCTTTTTGTGGTGTCTCCGATCAATACCAGGCGAATGCCCGACCAGTACCATAACAAACGGACCACGCGCGATCTTGCCTTCCTCTTCCTTGATTATTCCTCACCCCCTTACACACAGTTACACTAACATGCACTACACTGTTACACATACCGGGAGACCGATCGGGAGCTTGGAGGTTGTCCCGGTTGGAGCAGTACCTCGCTGGTGGGAGATACCTGGTTGGGGAAATCTTCGCTAGCCGACGGTCGGTTGGCGTCAGATTTCGCCATCCAGCGGAGCAAGATCACCACCCCCTCCCGAACAACAGCATGCATGCATGCATTTACGGAACTACGACCTTAGAAGTTGACGCGCCAGGAATCACTAGTAATCAATCTTTCCGAGCAGAAAATGCATTCATTTTTTTTCCAATATGACTCTAACAAGTGTCTTAACAAGCCCCAAATATGGTTATATGTGGTCTTTTTTGTAAAACATTCATTCACAAGACAATCACCTTCAGGAATTTAAAAACTTTCAGAAAGAATATTATACCAACTTCATATAGTTTTCTGTGTCTCATAGGTTCGTAGAGTCTATTCTAAAGCTGGTATCATTAGAACTATAAGTACTATACGGTGTAGTTTTTATGCAGATTAGACTTACTGAGGGCGTGTAATTGCATGAAAACCTATGAACATGATCGGATTTTTTTTCTAAACAGAAAGCATACAGTTAGACTCACGAGCCTCTAGCGGCAGTAGCTTTGACAAACAGATTTGTTTACAGTGGAAATCGTCCATACATTTCAATTTTCTGATAAGGTTCAGTTAAATGCATTTGTGCGGTTTGTGACTTGTTTTTTGTCGTGGCGGATTCCCGCTCTCGGCTATTCTGATGAGTGTATTGTACTCACATGTGCAGATATGAAATAACTGAATATCATTTCTGCAGCCAAAACTTCAACCATTCGCAGGCTGGTTTTTTGCGTACCCACTAAAGCCATACCAGTCACAACAATGTTTGCAGGAGCAAAGATTACGGTCTTTCTGTTGTGTCTCTTCAGGGTTTATAAATACCCAAATATTGCACATGTTCACAACGCAAGTTCACAAATGCCGCAAATGAATGTTTACGGACGGCGCTATTGCGTACCGGCAGAGGCCCAAGCGTCGTCATGCGGCAATTCATGTAGAAAACGTACGACCGGGTAAAAATGACTTTCGGCTTCGTATTCTTCTATTTTGGGATGTTGAATTTCAATTATAGTTGCTGTACGAACATCTGTGCGAAACTGCCTATAAAAAAGCCTACAGCTCAACGATGGTAATTTTAAAATTAACAAACCCGGGTAAACCAACCCGAAATGGGCTACTGGTGACTCGGCAATAACAATAACCTTAGAACTGGCTAAGATTCACCAACAGGCCCCTGCTTGTAGCCGAGGAGAGAGACTTCCATCCCAACGGGATAAGATAACGCCACCTTCTAATTAAACACGCACTACACTTACGGGACTAATAACCTTATCCGTCGGCGCGGAATCACGGAATAACTAATCAGTCAATCAATTCAACAAACATTCTTGTTTTACAGGGTAACTACACCGTTAAGAACTGGGTAGTGAAGTTGCAGCTGCCCTTCCAACAGCTACCTTACGGGACCTACTCCATTGACGTCGTCTTCAGCTACAAAGGAGAACGCGTGGGCTGCATGCGTGTCAAAGTGGATGTTACAGAGAAGAATAGCTAGAGATAGACTCCAAGAGAGCTGCTGGGTAGCTACGTTTGAGCGTAGTTCTAGATTATATGCTCTAAATGAAGATTATGGTTCGTGTTAATATACAATTTACATAAGTGAAATTTGTTCTGATATGATATGTACTATAATGTTATGCATACATTACAGATGTATTTTCTTCCTTCATTGTATAATAAACACACTGATTTAGCACACGTGACTCTTTGCTAAAGTAATACTAATATTCTTGAGTAAACGTGAATCCTTCTACTGTTATGTTGAAACTTAAAATCTGTATCTACAAAAGAATTTTAGTTGTATTTGTTGTCGGTGCACAAGAAAATAAAGATGCTTGAAATTATATTTTTTTCCTAATACATACTTCATTAAGAAATTTCACAAAACAGCTGGTGGGGTTAATGGGAGTAAATGAAAATAGAGGTAATTGTAAACGCTAAAACCAGACCAAAATACATTGTATATTTCTTACCGTTAGGAATGCATCAGGTGTCAATATCCGATCCAACATCGGGCGCAATCGATATGGAGCGCTATTGAAGTTTCATCGCACATTCACTTTGTTTTGGTTGTATATACATTTGCTCCATAGTGTAGGCATGGTGAGGTCGAATTCAGCCGCTGTCTGGAGGAGAATTCTAGCAACCGGTTCCTCTAATCGGTAGTTCACCCTTACAAACGGGCCACGGACAGCGCATGATCTTTCCTTCCTGTTCCTTGTCCTATCCTCATCGACAGGTGTGGTAGTACCGGCACACGCTTTCACTTACAAGCACAATACTACCACACATGCCGGGAGACCAGTCTGGAGCTAACAGTTCTTTAGGATGAGGTACTGCGCTGTTGGTAAAGATACCTGCAAAAATCGAAAACCGAATTTTCTTGTACACGCCGATAGATCTGGACATCCACTTGTTCACGGCGTCGCAACATAACGCTAATTTGGGGTGGGTTTGTGTTTCATGGAGCATGCACCGATCCTCTAATCGATCCAAAAATCGAGATGGCAAATCGCTAGCACTATCAATACGGTGGCAACTCTTTAACCGGACGAGGCGCGTTGTTCGGTTACTGTATAGAGAAAGTTATAACGCTGCGAGAAAAATACGCAGAAACTTCGACAGAAAAACTCTAATTGGCGGGCTCTAGAAATGAAAATGTTGATAAATCTTGTTTACGTTTTGCCTCTTACTTCTTAAGCAGAAAAAATATTGTGATCATGCGCCGGAAAACTGCAAATTTTAGGTAGAAAAACTCTTATTGCTGGGCCCTGATAGCGAGACTGTTGATAAGCCTTGTCGTTATATATACTAAATTACTTCTTCTAACACGTTATGTAGTCAGAATCCAAGTTTTGAGGGTCCTTGGGAAACATCGATGGAAGGTAAAATGTCTGTCTTTCTTGTCGTCCGTCTGTGGTAAATGCTAGAGTCTAAACCGTTCAGCCAGCTTCCTGGAAAATTGATATTCCCCGGTCGGTTTAAATGAACTTCAAGACATCTGAATACGAATCAGATAATTTAATTTTTGAGAATACTTTTTATTAAGTCTCATCAACATTAAGAGACAACAACAATTCCAAATTTTCTCAAAAATTGCTAGAAATTTTGTGATTTAACCCCGGATAGCAGATAGGGTACTTAAGAGAATGTTAATTTTCTTCAGAAAACGAGTAGTTTTGTGTAATTTGTGCTTAAAATTAATGCAATTTACTATAAACAGGGTTTCTCAAAACTGCTCCAAATTTTTCTTTTACAATTAAAAGATTGTATAAGAGATTGGATCATGTCTACTTTTCGTTGAGCTTTCTGAAGTTTCGAAAATTGCAAATGCAGAAATAACCCGAGAAAGTGTTTGTTGTTTTAGCCCAAGCAGTTTGAGATTGTTATCTTCTGCGAAAAATCGTTTGGAACTTCGTTTTACCTTTTGCGAGTTTCCCCTCTTCTGGGTATTTAACTGTTAATGATTTCCTGTTTCATCTGCCAGGGAAGCATTATTCGTCACCGTATCATTTATAAATGTAATAAACGTTAAATAATAATAAAAAACCCTCAAATTCAGTTCTTGAATTTCTAGGTGAACGGTTGCAGGAACATGTGGGAGAACATGTATGGGGATCGTATGGGGAACATGTGGAAAACCTGTGATGAGCATTCGGAGATAAACGTAGTAAACATAGAGAAACATGTCGAGAAATATCAGAGGAACTTGCCGAGAAAAAGTGAGGCAACGTAATGTGTAGGAAATATATGAAAGATCTGGCATAGAGACATGCGAGGCTATGTGGAGCCCCAGTTAAGTTTCTTCGGCAGTATTCTACAAAATGAGACCCTTTTGAACCTTCTGTTACCGTTTTAGGCATTCAACTGATCTGGGTGCACCCACTCCTTAGAACGAATGGTTGATCAGAAAAGAGCAAAAGCTCGAAAGGTATGTAAAATTAAATCGATATGTCAATGGGTCTGTCTTTAAAGCTTTAAATTGAAAAGAGAAAATCCAATAGGTGCAGTGACCGACCTTGGCAAGGAAAAACGGTGAGTGATAAGATGTGATTCAGAAAGTAAAACTCTTGAGCGATAAAGTGCATCGTGATAAGGTTTCGCCTCACGATAAGACTTTTGACTCACGATATTTTCTTGGAATGAAATCAGTGCTGGACTCAATAATATAGCATCTTTTGAATTCTTCACCTCAAGAGTGCTGTTATACTCCAAGGCATTGCCGTTCAATCGATACTCCAGGAGGAATTGTCATTGACCGAGCAGGTTTGATTCCTCGCGTCGAAAGTTCCTTCCAACGTCCTTACTAGAACTCTGTTCGACGAAAACAACCGCTTAAGCAGGGCCTTATGACTCCCATATAACGCGGAGGAATCCATTACGGTGGCGCGCTCTGCTGCAGCACCTTCTTACAGGAACTAAAACACGAACTGCCGCCAACGATACTTCAAACGTGTGTGGCTGTTGCGTGAGCATGCAGACCCTAATATTACAAAAGCTAGCGCCAATGTTTGCGGTTTCTCCAGGAGTTTCCTATAGGTGTATATTATGAATAATTGTAGTTTTAAAAGACACTTTTCTTATTTCTCACAAATTAGCCGATTTTTATGTGCGGAAGTTGGCGAGACTAACCTGAAGGTGTACTTAACGACACCAGAGCCTTCTAGACTAGCACTCTCGAGCTGTGTCCCCTGTTCTGATGGGGAGTTGCAAGGTTCTGCGCATGAGTATCGCCAGCAGGGCTCTGTAACTCCCATATAACGTGGTGGGAACAATTACAGTTGTGCGCTCTAGAGCATTGACTTCTTACACGAACTAAAATGCTAACTGCTACCAACGTTAATAAAACGTGCGTGGGTTCTCTTGGCGCAAACACACGCGCTTGATACAAAAGATCGCGCCGAATTGTATTTCTTGACCAATTTTTATGTGCGAAAGTTGGCGGCCTTACCAGCAGCTGTATCCGACGACACTAGCACATCCTATTGTAGCAACCTCTAACTTTGTCCCCAATTCTGATGGAGAGTTGCCGGGCCTTGATCGCCAGGCTCAGCGACTTCACTCAACGGAAGGACTGACTGCTGTGTCGGAAGCAGGTACCTCGTTAAAGGCACTCACAGACCGGCGCGGAAGATCTGAAGCGGGTGCAGCGCGGACAGTTCCGCTCTAGACGCGGCCGCGGTATCCGCGGGACCGTTTACAATTATGACTCAGCGTTCGGTGACAGTTTTACTCAGCGGGTAAACGAAGGGAACTTAACCCAAAAGGGTAATGAAGACACTCGTAGTCGGGCGGACTTCCACGAAACTCGAGCGGCAGTGCTTGAAACGCATCGTTTAAACTCGTTCCAAAACCCGCAGGTAAGAAAATGCTGCCAATCTGCTACCGTGACGCTCGCCTGCCGAGCAGGTCTGAAGATAATAAGGCAACACGTGACAAAAAGTTATTTCTATTATTTCCATGAACTTTGATCAGCAAAAGAAATGTGAAAATAACTTTGTTTTTTTCAGGAGACATTTTCAGTGTTTTTAAGCAGACATTTGTATATATTTTTCCGTCGCCACGACATAATCTCTGTAAAGATTGACCTTTTAAATCATGACCTTATCGTGTCTCGCTCAGAATTTGGAACATTTCTAGAGCAAACTCCGTGAAACATTTTCCATTTGCGCACGCCGATACACAGATCTAATAAAAGTTGCTTCAGAAACCCACCCGAAAAAGGGATTTTTTTCTCTTTGATGAATTATGTACCTGTTGACGCCAACGATACTCACCAACCCGAAGAAATAGTTACTCACACGACTGATTTAATGGATTGCACAACTTTAATCTATACTGACCGATTTTGTTGAGTTATAAAACAATTTCAGGCTAGTTTTATCTCGTGTTATCAACAGTTGCATCGTCATGAATTGTTGAATATAAAACAATTCTTCGTTTGGGTTCCTGTTTCATACCTTCTTTCTGACAAGTGGTTTTCAAATTCACCTTTATCACCACCCACCACTCGCACAACGTTTTCCGTTTTTGTTTAAATGCATCATTAGTCATCAAGTGCACATACTGTTCTCTTACAGAGAAGTCCAATTTGGCAACACTTTGTTCGTAATGTGGACTACGGAAGCGACATCAATAACAAAACATCGATGTTAACAAACATCGATGTTCAAAATCAAAATATCGATGGTAAAAATACATCGACTAAAAACCATCGATGTTTTTCCACATCGATATTTTCAAGTTGGTTTAGTAACTTTTATCATGAAGAGAGAGGGCGATGGAGAAACTCCTAGTGCACACAGTGTTCCTTTGGTCCCAACACATGAAGAGTGTTACCATCAGTTATATCTCATAATTTAACATTTTCAGTACATATTGTGATCATGGTAGTTTTTTTTCTTTCAGAAAGAAAACATCGACCACAAAACATCGATGTTAAAAACATCGGCATTAATGCATCAATATTTACAAAATCGATGTTACTACAAAACATCGATGTTTTGAAAACATCGATGTCAATGTCCCCTCTCTAATATAGACATGCACTCAATGTGGATATTAGTCGAATTTCCGGACCCGAACTCATACCAGAGGTGGCGCACTGGGTGAAATTACCGGGGCATGAAATTATCTTTGATATTTGTGTAACCGCAACAGCCAAACTTAAAACTCAAGTGATATGAAGGGAACTGTCTTACAGAACACTAATTAAGGCGGCCAGGTCTTTAATTTTCAAATCATAATACGCTTTACATTGTGGGTTTGGGTGCAAAGAACTCATGTACCAGGTCTTATGAGTTAAGAGTTACTGTTATTTTAAAATTATATAATTGATGATTAATCATAGTTTTTAGCAATAATATTGCAAAAGGTACACCTATTATAGGTTAATTTACTATAACATTAAACATTTATTTTATTTACTATACAAAATAAGAGTTTCTACATTATTTTATTCTTTCACAACTATTTAAAAAAATATAACCACTATCTCGATGGATTTTAACACAGTTTCCCTCGGGTCATGAGGTAAATACTTGTAATACCTTTTCTTTACTTCTGTAAGAATAAATGAAGCTTTATTCATCTTCAATAATATCATAAAAACCAGTATTGTTTTCGGCATCAATAAACAATATTAAATGGGATAATATTATTTTACATCTAGAACACGGATTATTAGATTCGTAACCAAGAATCAGTTATAAAATGACAAAATAACATGGTGCTCAACGTAATATTTTCTGCGCGGATTCGGCCTCGTTCAGACCACAGTGCGACGTTGCTACGCGGGCAAGTGACGTTCTAAGGGGGGGGGGGAGGTTGGCAACCTCGCTGGACATGGATCGCTGGGAAGGCAGGCAAAGTCGCTGGAGGGCAGCGACAACGCTGGCTAGGATGCTTGCTCACTTGCCGGGCAGCGAGGCGATATCGCTGATAATAGACGTAATATGGATTACGGTGGTAGTGACGTCACTGGTTGTGAGACGATGATAGGGGGAGAGAAGTTTGAGCTGGGAGACCTTAGGGAGGCCTGCTCACTTGCCGGGCAGCGAGGCGTTATAGCTGATAGTAGACGTAATATCGATTATTGCGGTAGTGGCGTCACTGGTTGAGAGTCGGTAGCACAGGGAGAGACGGTTGGGCTGGGAGACCTTACGTGGGCGGAAAATGGACATCAGTGGAAAAGAGTGTTCTTTGGTGGGCGAGCATGCAAAGTCTCTAGGCGGGCAGGCGATATCGCTTGGGGGAGGCGGCATAGCTGGGCAGGAGAACACACTGGCCAGGAGGCGCTGTTGCTTGGGAAAAAGATGACGTCATGCTGGGTGCGGATATGAAGTTCGGCGTTGAGTGACTCGTCAGGTAGCCAGGCGATATCC